AGGATAGCGGGTGCTGCATTTACATTCCAGCATCCCCTGCAGCCCCAGCGGATCTAAATTGACAAACCCCAAATATCAAAAATGAAAAGAGAGGAGGTGGTGTTTTGTCACAAAACTGGATTTGGTTTTGGTCTGAATCGGCCCTAAGTGTGACTATCAGCAATCCTTGCCAATACAAATACCTCTACCTCCCTACTCTGAGAAATCCCAATTGTCAATGGGATTGTCTCATTGGGCAATTGTCTCATTAAAAAAACTTAGAACAAAGCTCTAATGACAAAGAAATTCTACACATATAGGGGCTTTGGGGTTCAGTGACACAATAAGCCTTATCCTTTTTTACAACATTTGCTCAAATTTGATTTCCTTACAATATATTTTATGAATGCAAACCTTTTTTGGCAGCCACGTCTAAATTGATTTGGCTGCCAAAAGCTTCTTTTTAGCCTTAAAACTAATGACTGCCTGCAAGGTAGGAAATCATTCTGAATCGTATGCTTTGGAGGGTGGTCGTCAGTAATGAACATAAAATACACAAATTCTGTAGTTAATGGACTTAAATGTGTGAAACCACTAAGATTATTTTTAAGAATTTTGATCACATATGATTAATCAATAGTGCTGATGGGACTTTCTACCCACATTTGGATTTGCAAACTTGTTAATATGGGCATGTTTTTNNNNTTTTTACTTTAAAACCTTGCCTGGTGTAGCTTTAATAGGAACCATTAACAGAGAGAGTCCTGCTAGCTCAGCAGGCTAAGACCTCTCCATCCTCCCTCTGTCTCTCCTTGCTGTAAACGGCCCAATAAAGCAGAAAAACCATTAAAACTGCAACCCATAATATGCTTTAATTTCATGCCGGCAATCATGTAGTTATAGCAGGTGTCATGTTCTCAGATGGTTACCATCTCGTGAAGCCCTTTATATCTAAATTGTGAAACAGTAAATGAAGTGAGGCTTCGCTGGCTGGAACAGACACTGACAGCACAATAATAATCCTGCTATTCATGGAGACAAGTGAAGAGTACTACCTGCTGATGTTAAACACTTCATTTTAGTTGTTTGTTCTTTCCTCTCTGTCCTTCAGAGAGGTAAGTTGTTAGACTTCAGCAAAACCTCGTCCTCTCTTGCCCCTTGTTGTCTGTTCTCATTCCTCAAAGACTGAAGACGGCTTTGTTGCCTCAGGCCTGTAAAGTTCCCTGACTAGCGGACAGGAGATGGCTGGCCATTATGCTAATGCTGTCCCCTGGAGTTTCCATGCAGTGGTGAATTTGGAAGGGGGGCACTAAGAATGCTGTCACTTCCAGGCTGACATTCAGGCATTGACGCACACGTCACAGTCAGCAGAGACTGAGCAACAATCCACCTTTAGGAATGGGGAGGCTAGCACAAAAATTGCTAAACTAAACTGGGGTCAGTGTCTCAGAGGCCTGGCTGGGTCAGACCTCTGACAGCTGGGCGAAGAGGAGAGTACAAGTAAGAACAGATACATAAAGAGAGAGGAGTTAGCCTCCTACCTGTGTGGGGTTGTAGAGCTCCTGCAGGGCGTTGCGGGACCCTTTCCTACTCCAGCCGTCCACCACGAAGGGGTTCCTCCGCATGACTGGAAAAAAACACAGAGGAGACACCACTGAGAACTGAGGACCTTTCAAAGCAACCAGCCCAATCGAAACAGAGTAACAAGGAGGACAAACTAGATCAGAGGGATCAGTTACAACCTGTCTCACTCAGGAACATTGACCCTCATGCTCAAAAATACTGACTGGGCTGATCAACTTTCACTGGACTTTCATCATCAATGGGGGACCGCTTGTTATCGATTTACAATAAATCCAAACAACAAGCAGAAAAACATCAAACATGTCTCATGGTGATGTTAATGTTAATCTGTGTCATTCTGTAACAGTAACACAAGTAGACTTCCTCTTGTAACACAGCACAAGATACATTTGTCAACCGTTCTGGACATTTAAAACACTTTCACCTGTTCTTGTGTTAGCTTGCAATCTTGTCAATCATAGTTTAAGACAATGGGGTGACACCTGTTTCAGAGGTGGTGCATGCCATCCAAGGCCACTCCCTGAACAGGCATAGGTGACATATGGACAAAGATACCAAAGGTGTCCCACTACAGTGGACACTGGTTTTCATAGATTCTTTCATAGTAGATTTCAGTATCTTTACGTTGAAACAGAACCCTCATAGCTGCACTGTTCCCCAGCCAACTCTGATTG